GGTGCTGACCCGCGCTGTGCGCCCGGCTGCTCGAGGACGACTCGGGTGCTCCGCGTCCTCAGCAGCGTGGAGCACAGCCCACCTTTCGGTCTCACCTCCATGCTCTGTAAATGAGCGAGCAGGCCGGTGGAATTTCTGGCAGGTGTTGCTGGTGCTGCCCCTCGGTGTGGACGGTGTGGACGGTGTGGACGGTGTGGACGTGGACGGTGGTGTGTGCTCTGAAGTGGGTTATTTGCATCTCCGCCTCCTTGTCTTCTCAGGATTCCTTTCCCACTGAGAGGAGGGGCGCATGAGATGGGGGAGTCGGAGTTCTTGGGGGAGTCTCAGTCACAAGAAGTTGAGAAGTCCTGTTTGGAAGGGGGGACTGGGGTTGCCCTCTCCCCCGCCCCCGGTGCTCCTGGAGCTCTGGGCCCTGGTTCTGAGCCAGGGGGTGGTCTGGCTGCTCCCCGGGGTCAGGTGCTGCCGCCCCGGAAGCCCGTCTCGAGGGCAGCCCTCAGCCCCTCTGGCCACTTGGCACGTGTCAGTGCTGTGTGGTCCCCTGGGCTGCACGTCGCGCCGGGGCGTCCAGCACAGCCGTGCCCTCTCTGTCCCCCGCAGACATCGGCCCGGTGACTCTGACGGCGGACCCCGCGGTGTTTCAGAGGGAACTGAGAGAGCTCTACGTGCAGGTGGGCTGCCCCTGCCCCGCTCGGCCTCCACCCTGTCCTTCCCACCCACGCCCAACCAAGGTCTGAGAGCCCGGCCCCAGGGCCATGACTGCTCCCAGCTGCCGTGACTGGGGTCAGTGTCCCAGCTTGGGGGCCCGGTGTCTTCCGTCCGGGGTCCCCTTCCGTTCTTCATGAACAAGTTCCTCCAGGGCCCCAGGCCAGACCCCCTGTCTGGCACACAGCAGGCTCTTGCTACTTGGTGAGCAAATGCAGCTGAGGAGGGGGCAGTGTGGACGCCCTGGGACGGGGTGGGGGTGGGGCAGGTCAGTTCGACATCCTGGACCAGGTCAGAGGGCAGATAGCTTGGGTTCAGCGTCTGCCCTTCCCCTGACCACTGTCCCCTAGGGCAGGGCCCCACCTCACAGTCTAGCTCACCACCAGCCCGCTGGGGCCCGGAACAGAGCCCAGCACGTCTGGGGGCTCGGGAAGTCCTGTGGGCAGACGAGCGAGTCACAGAAAGGCATGTTTACAGACAGGCTTCCACGTGCAAACCGCGTGTGGGCTGGGCGTGCCTGTCTGTGAGGTGGGACAGCTCGCCGTGGGGGGGGGCTTATCTGGGGAGGGGCCCTCATGCTTCCTTCTTGTCCGGCACCCATTCTCCCTTGCCCTGGCCGCCCCTCTACCCTTCAGCCTGAGGCTCTCTGCCAGCGCTCCGGGGTCCACCTATCCCACTTGCAGGGCTCTCTCTGATTCATGACTGGAAATCCATGACCGCGCTGGGTGGGGGTTGGCGTCTGCCTCTCTACGAGGTCCGCAGGAGGGGACTGCAGCGCCCTGGAGTGGGCGAGTGGGTGACGCTGCTGATCTGAAGGAAAGCGGGCGGACGCTGCGTTGTGTGTCTGGGGCCGTGGCTGGGTCCCTGGGTGGGGGGTCGGAGGTACCCCTGGTAGGTCTCGTCTGGAGGAGACGGTCACAGCCTCTGAGACGCCCCTGCCCTCCAGGGAGGAGGTGACTGCCCGGAGATGAGCGTGGGGGCCATCATGGCCGCCGTGGAGGTGGCCAACCCCGGCTCGTTCATCTACGTCTTCTCTGACGCCCGTGCCAAGGACCACCACAGGAAGGATCAGCTGCTGCGGCTCCCGCCACTCCACCGCCGGGGTTTCCGCCTGCAGCTCAAACAGTCGCAGGTGAGTGAGCAGCCCGGCTGCTCGAGGGGGGCTAGCAGGGTCCCCAGGAGGCCGGGATCTCCTGCTCGGCAGTTCTGAGCCCCGACCTGGAGGGAAGAGCAGGCGCCTCTCTTCTGCAGCCTGGCCGGCCGCCTCTCAGAGCAAGCTGGTCTGGTGAACCCCAAGTGTGTCCTGTTCCGAGCCCTGGCTGGGCCACGGCTCCCTCTTGATAAAGAGCACACCACTTCGCCCTTTCACGCCCTGCTGAGTTGCATCATCGTCTTCCTCCTGGCACGGCCTCTGCTCCTGATCCCTGCAGTTCACGTCCCCTGGCGTTTGTAACTTTTGCTTCTGGCTTTTGCAGTGGGGGCCCAGGGCAGGGATGAGCGTGGGGGGAGAAGGGTGGCTCTTTGGCACCCTGGGGAAGACCTGGAGGGCTGGGGCCACTGCTTTGCCATTGGTGCATCCAGGGCACACGTGGGGTCTCGAGGTCCTTCTAACTCTGCAGGCTCCAGGGCCACTCTTAGAGGAGCCCAAGTCCATGCCTTGTTGTCATAGACTTTAAAAAGGTTATCTTATTTATGACAGAGGGCACGTGCACGCATCCTAGG